AGCGATTACGATAAATTCAAGAAGGGTTTAGTGTGACGTGGTGGTGCTCAATGGTAGCGAAAAAAGCAGAAAAATCCGTCAAGAAAACGCAAAACGGGACCCCTTTTTTGGCCGTTGGTTTTCACTCATGAACAGGTAACAGCTCAGAAAGTGGAGTTGAACCGCAACGCGTTTGATGGCACCATGCCAAACCACGCTTCAATCGAGATGCTCCATTTGCGCCGCTGCTGGCACGCAGCTCGTCCAAATCAACAAGTAAACTAGTGGGCGGATCGCTTTTGGGGGCGGAGCGCTTTCGAAGTCCTGGTTTCGGAGAACGATTCTCTCATCAATTTTCGGGGAAAACTTCGCCCAGCCTGATCTGTAGAAAACCCTAATCAGTACTCATAAAGATGAGGCATTGAAACAGGTTCTAAAAAACAGAAGCCTTACCTACGGCAAGCAGCGTGCAAATGAGATGACTAGATTCAATGACACTAAAATTTATGGCATCGATGGCACCTACCTGAAAGGGATCCTAAGTATAATGGTGAGGGGGATGCCCTACCAAGAGTTCGTTAGAGGGAGGGGGCCTACTTTCCCAACCATTTCCTTGACGCGGTGTTCACCCTGCTTCCCTGTGTCAGATACAGTTGCAGAACGTCGAAAATGGTAGACATGGTTGGTTTGGAAAATATTGATTCCGAGGACTGTACAAAAACCTAAGCAAATCTGGCCATTGGGCCACACCAGCCCGAAGAGATTAAGGAGAAGAGCTGATAAGAAGGAAACGTGTTTCCCATGAGGTTGTGAAGGCAACTATTAAGAAATAAAAATGAGATCAGAGTGGGATACAGTTGCTGCGCAACGCAAAATAACACGGAAGACTGGATGATCTGAAAATCTGACAAGACCAGTATCGTTGTTGTTGTAGACAAGTCTACACTAATTATTGAAAACTGTTATCAGGCTAACCTTCTGTAAGACAGTATAGGACAATTCGAGAAAAAGTCTCTGCTCTAAATTACCTCTTGAAATACAGATAGAAATCGTAGAAGAAATTTGAAGATTACGACCCACCTGATCGAAATGACTTTCAGTGGTTTTGACCGGATGAGCAGGTCTACTGGAAAGCCAACACCAGCTAGCAAACCTGCACATTCGAGAGCAACATAACTGGCACCGACCACCAACGTCTTGCCTGGAGGTTTTGACAACGAAAACAGGTCATCAGAAGTGATTCCTGCATTTCACAACTTCGTTATACCAAACGACATATTCGATAAAATCGAAAACTGCAGAATAAAATGTTCTGTAAGCGATGAAACCACACAGCATACCATATTTGGATCCTGGAATGTTAGGATATCGCGGACGAAGGCCAGTCGCAACAACAACATTCTTTGCATGCAGTGTATGCTAAAGAACTCCGTAACCGTTGATTCGATGAAATAAACCTTTGTGTTAGCTAGAGGAGTTGGAAAAAACTATAAAGATATTCCCCTTCCTTGTTCAGCGTCCCTCTATCGTAATACCTCTACCGCCGGCTTGCACAAAGCCCCAAACAAGTTTTTTGCCGCTCTCTCAATGCCTCACATTTTTTTATTCAGCCGCATAACAGACTTACACCGATACTGTCTAGGTGCCTCACCGGGTCCTTGCGGTATTTGATCAGACGTTCGGCAGCACACGAGCGGCACAATAAAGGCGTCACCCATGTGCGACAGCTAATCCTGCAATTACGTTTTTTGGTAGAGATGCGGGCTTCACGATCGCCCAGCGTTAATTCTCGAAACTGTTTATTCGTAAGAGGAAACGATGGACAGCGTGCCATCGCTGGCTGCTTGCCAGCGAACGTCAGCTGTGAAGCCTTACGGATAGCCAATACACGCACTTTACCTCGGTAGCCAGCTGTATCACTTTTCGTGTGTGGAGAAAATTAACCCACCTCCGTTTTCTTCTTGTCGGCAGATACCGTTTTTATCGTATGGCTGTCAATAAAGGAAGCAAACGCTGTGTAGAGCTTCACACCTCTGAAACTTGACGACTTTCAATTGGCGAATGGGAGAAAAGGTTTTCAACCAGGGTCAACCGTGCATTCGCACTATTCGAAAGAGGGTGTCGCATCTGTAGTTGATTTTGGGCAGGAGGTCGCATTCGGGGAGTGGGATTAGTAATTTGTTGGGTGAATGGAGAGGCGGTTTAGAATGGTTAATTGGTTTTTGAGGAATTTGTTATATCCCCTCCCCGCTCGACGCTGTTTTGGAGGGAAAGTGGGCGGAGCTGGGCTGTGTCGATTGGTCTAATCAAATACTATGGAAACCGTCATGATGGCGAGGGTGGGCTGGATCGTCATCGAAGCCCCCCGGAAGGGGGGTCGCGAAATTCCTAAAAATGTGCGAACGTTTACGGCTGACCCTGCTTTCAACTAGGATATTGTTGCTTATACACTTCTCATTCAGCTGCACACGATATATCCAATTGTTTGCCTTGATTCGGTCATTGACGACCTGGACCAGAGTTTTCCTGAAACCTGAATTTTGAGGGAATTGAGGGGCATTCAATGGATAACTAACCAGGAATGTTTGCCTTTCACAACGTCTTGCCATCCATACATCGAGGCGTGTTGCACCTCAAATTTTCAGAATTGCACATGAAAGTCGTATAACTTCGTATAAAAGATCCAGCAATATCTGTTAACTCTCTAGGGGCAGCTTCAATCCACCCAATCCAGCAATGCAGGCCGCATGGAGAGTATATGCGCCACATGGAGCAATTACTTGGCTGTAAATGGAGCAAAGTGTGGCGGTTTCACAATGAGGGGTGCCCTGGTTTCTGAGCAGAACTTCAAAATCACCCCGCCCCGAAAGCGTCACGCCCACCAGTTTAGTTGATGACTTGAGCGATTTGTTTGCTATTGGCTTTTCATTTTGGAAGGATCAATTCCCTTTTAGCGGTTGTATCTTCTAACTTTCCTATGTTAATGCCCTATAAATCAAAACGCTATGCTGTTGGCACGGATGGCGGTTATTGGGGTTAACACGTCCGGACAACTTTCTTTGTCGCCGCTCATCCATGGTTGAAAATGAACGGTCAACTAGGGCCGTATGCTATCCTTCCCCGAAGCTAGGTGACGCAAAGTTTCCTTTAAATTTATTTGCTTTGAACGATGTCGTTTCTTCATTTTCAATGCATGTTTACTTTAACCTACATACATACATTTAATGTAGGCCTTTTATCAGGGTAATCCCAGTTGGGAAGACAGAGAAAATTTAAAGGAATTTTCGTCCCCTAACCCCTTCGGGGAGGATCGCATACGGCCCTAGGTGGATGCCACTTTGCGTTTACTTGACGGATTTCTCTGTTTTTTTTTGCCATTGGTGTACCATGGAGCACCCCACGTCCCCTCTAAACCCTTCCAGAATCTATCGTAACCGCTGCCTTGGAAAGACAGATAAGTTCAAAGGGGTTTTTACCCTCCACCCTTTGTGGAGGATTGAATCCGGCCCCAGGATTGCGCCATGAATTCGACTTTCATTCAAAATAAGAATTTGGAAGGTGAAAAGTGTAGGTGTTCTCCATGCAGAGTATCGAAAGAGTAGCATACACACTTTCAATCTGGCGTCTTTATTCTCAACTCCAGAGAAGTGAAGAACATGGTCGACTATGGCGTGTTCATAAGCCCTAATGATAGTCTGGCGCTTTTAGCAGCCGCGGTGTTTACTCAAAGGCATGATCGCTCACCTCTTTCCCTACAAGTCCAGCATGATGCATGAGCTTTTTGGGAATACACCCCACGTTAGCACACGTCCCTCCGATACCCCATGTTGTTCCATGTGGGCTTGGTGCTACGCCATCGACCAAAGCAACGCTGGCACCGTATTCTCGTCTGGAACGGGAACTTTCAAATTTGCTGGACTGAGATCGAGCTCAAATCTGATTTTTAATGACACTCACGCAGCTTTCGAGCACGACAAACCACCAGAACCACCACCGATCACGACAAGGTCGTATTCAAGAGCAGTGGAGGCTAAAAATCGTTTCCTACACTCAGCCATTTCATGGAATGAAGAGGGTCAAGAGGTATCCCTACGTACCTGTACGCTTCCCAAGCAGTAATGCTTGCCTTGGCAAAAGCCACCGCTGCATGACGAGCGCGCGAGTTAGCCCTGAATTCAGAGGCTTTATTGACACTTCGTGCCAGCAAGAATTCGTGTCCTCCTCAATATGACAACTTTGTTTAAGTATGTGTTCGCTTGCTTATAAAAGAAAAAGCAAAATCGACAGTCGTATTATTTCCAACTGCCTGCCTTACCAGAAAATAATTGCTGACTGAACTATTTCTAAGTTGATAAAAAGTAAACATGTGTCTTCAAATATAGCAGTTGGAAGAGTCACGATTCAAGCTTCTGCAGATCAAAGCTTTCTTCGAAAGATTTATAACCGTTTATTCAAATTGAGCATTAAAACTATTCAACAAGTATGTGAAAGAACTTTGAAAAGCACAACTAGTGTGAATGTTATTGACACCCTGTGACAAAGAGTACCAGATTTGCGCCCTGAAGTATGAGTAATTGCTCCTTCTTCAAAAATCACCTGAACGACTGTCACATCGGAAGCAGAAAAAAAGTGATAGTCGTCCGTAACTTTAAGCTTGAGACAATTTAAACAGTTAAAACGGAACTCAAAGTGAAACGATTTTTCGATAAAACAACATCTCAGTTAGGCAATGGAGTACTAATGCATGTAACTTGCTTATGTTCACAAATCAAACATCTGTACCAACACATAAGTGTACAGTCTAGTACTGATAATGGGCTCCTAAGAAATGATTGTCTGAGGTATTAAAGAAGAGCATTAGCCTGAAGTTCCATCGTGAAAATCAGAGGTGCTGATGTTCGCACATGCAAAACGTCATTCTCCATGAAGTTGGACGTGCTGATCACACCACCGAAGGCCATTATAGCGTCTTCTGAAGCTTCGAAAATTTCTCTAACAAGAAATAGAAACATAAGTAGAACAAGCAAATAAGTAATGTAAGCCAGATGAAGTGGAGACACTACACTGCACGAAAACCATTGATTTACACCTCGACGTGTATAAAGGGTAGGACCAGGGTCAACCCTACGTTGTTACAAGTAACCAGGGGAGTCGTAGTTTGTTGAAGTTAGAGGGGTCGTGGTGTTTTGATAGCGCGAAATTACATGTGAATGGGGTTGACGAGCGAGCGGTCGACTGAGAAAATTTGCTGTCATCGTGTCGTATGGCCGCCCCCCCACCCCGCCTCGACGGTGGTGTTTTGACGGGAAAAAGTGGCTGTGAAGAGGGGGTTAATATGAACCTTCTCGACGGGAAAGGAATTAGGGGGTGGGCGTTTAAAAATGGTACAAAAAGTACCACAAGGAAAAAAAAAAAAAAAAAAAGAAAACAAAAAGTACCAACGATAGGACCGACCCTGGGTGGGACAGAAGGGCGACTGGGCGAAGGGAAGGGGAAGGAAAGAAGGTGCAATACTACTTTCTTCTTCTTTCTTCGCTTTAATTACTTCGCATTACACGTCTTTTTTTTTCGACCAAATACCTTCCATATGCAAAATGAATTGCCAAACTGAACACACTAGACAATTATTTGACTCCAGCTGATGCCTAGACTTAGCCTTTTCGGCAAACAAGAACATAATAATCATCTGTCTCGGAAATTTGATGCGACGATTGTTGAAGCGTGTGAGGATTTATACTGTTTCTTTACTGTTGTACGTCCTATCGTCCTTTCCTAGACATGTGCTAACAAATAAAGGATAAAGGATAAAGCATTTGCCGTTGATCAATCCCTTTTTGGGATGCGGCACGCATTCTACTTCCATTTGTACATTCGTAGTGGCGTTTGAATGCGATGTGGCCTATACAATGACTTGCGGGGGCCAGCCGATGTTCAAGTCAGTGTTTTTATCCTCCCAGACAAGTCTGGTACCAATTAACCGACCCCGGAGGGATGGAAGGCTTGGTTGGCCCGGGCGACTCACGACCCAGGATTTGATCCCGGACCGCTCGCGTGGTAAGCGCGCCACTTGTCACTACACCACTTCCGCCCATGTAAAACTTAAATAATAGAAG